TTATCCTCTCCTCGCGTTTTTATTCCTGTCTTTCATTATTTCCTCTCTTCCCCTTTTTTCTTATTCAATCCTCTGTTTTCTTGTTTACCATTTATCATCAGGTGTATAAGCGTCTCCAGTTCCTTTTTGTCTTCTCTGGTTCTCGAATACTATGAGGAAATATGATAATGATGATATGATGTATACTAACGACATATATATAACACATAGCACGATATATGTCCAGTATAACGTATAATATAATGAGGGTATATATATGGTAAATGGCATAGTCATTTTATGATGAAATGCTCTTTTTCTTCATTTTATATTTTTTTCACACATTTCCATATTTTAAGCCCGTCACGGACACCTGCAACCGTCCTTTTCAGCCTCAAACTCATGGCAAAATCTCCCCTTCGTTATCACCCCCCCCCCGCTTCCCCCTTCCACCCAACCCCCATCCCTAACCCCGCCCCCCCCCCATCTCATCTCCGCCCCCCACCTTCCCCCATTCCTACCCAACCCCCATCCCCTAACCCCCCTTCCCCCTTCCCACCCCCCACCCCCATCCCTAACCCCGCCCCCTCCATCCCCTCCCTTTCCCTTTTCCAACCTGCAAATTACGCCACACCTCATCACCCCCTTCCCCCCTCTCCCCTCCCCTAGCCCCTCCCCCTCTCCCCCCCCCCCCCCTCGAGAACGCAACACCCCACCTCTGCCTGATCTCCTTAATTACCTAATCCCCACGTTCCGGACTTAATAGACCACTTACACACACACTCCCTTCCCTCGTCCCTTTCCCGTCCCTGGTACGAAGGTCCTGGGTCGAAGGGAGGAGAACGTAGGTGCTTGAGAACCCAAAGCGGAGGCTAGTGTGTTGGGGATGCCCTTGTCCCGTGGCCCTGGGAGGACGTCAACCCCTAGATCCTCCCCTTGTGCTTCCGAGTCCTTTTTTACGTGGTAGGAGTAAGCAAGGTCTATATAATGATAATAATAATTAATAATAAAAATGATAATGAATAATGAATGATAATAATTACGATATTTTATGATAATGATGATATAACGATGATATGATGATGATGATTATAAATAATGATATAATAATAATAATAATTAATAATAATAATAATAATAATAATAATAATGATAATAATAATAATAATAATAATAATAATAATAATAATAATAATAATAATAATAATAATAATAATAATAATAATAATAATAATAATAATAATAACAACAACAACAACAACAATAATACAATAAAATAATAATAATAATAATAATAATAATAATAATAATAATAATAATAATAATAATAATAATAATAATAATAACAACAATAATAATAACAATAATAATAAGATAATAATAATATAATGATAATAATAATAATGGACCTTGGGAGTACGTTCCTCCCGTGTGGATTGGGTGAAGGCGCGGCGACGACTGGAAAGAAAAGGATTCCGGGTCGAGAACGATAGTAATGATTAGGGATAATGATGATAATGATAAGGATGATAAGGATTGTGATATTAATGATTATGATGGTACCAATAGTTATGGCAATATTAATAACAATAATGATAATAAAAATGATAATAACAACAGCAATAACGATAATAAAAATCAGTAATAATGTTGGTAATGATAATAATGACATTAATTAATATTAACAATTAAATCAATCATGGTGATAATGATGATTATGATAATGATATTGATAATTTTGATAATACAATAACAAAAACAATGATAACAGTAATCATAATAATAACAATAATAATAATAATAACACCAACAACACCAATAATAATAATGATATGATAATACCAATAATAATAACAAGAATATGAATTGATGTAATAATAATAATAATAATAATAATAAAAAATAATAATAATAATAATAATAATAATAATAATAATTAATAATAATAATAATATAATAATAATAATATAATAATAATAATAATAATAATAATAATGATAAAAATAATGATAATAAATGATAATAATTATAACTGATAATGATGATATTAACGATAATGAGGATGATAATAATAACAGTAATCATAATAATTATGATATTAATGACAATAATGATAATAATGATAATAATAATAATAATAACAATTATAATAATAATAATAATAATATAATAATAACAATGATAAAAATAATAATGATAATAATAATAAATATAATAATATAATAATAATAACAATAATAATATATAATAATAATAATAATAATAATAATAATAATAATAATAATAATAATAATAATAATAATAATAATAATAATAATAATAATAATAATAATAATAATAATAATAATAATAATAATAATAATAATAATAATAATAATAATAATAATAATAATAATAATAATAATAATAATAATAATAATAATAAAAATAATAATAATAATAATAATGATAATGATAGAATATAATAATAACAATAAGACTAATAAGAGGAATAATAATGACGATAATGATAATGACAATATTAATGATAATGATGATAATAATGATAGTAATAATAATATGATAATGAGTATGGTAATAATGATAATAATAACAGTAATGATAATTATAATAATAATAATGATGATAATAATAAAGATATAATGATAATGATAATGATAATGATAATGATAATGTTAATGTTAATAGTAATGATAATAACAACAACAACAATAATGATAATAATAATAATGATAACAATGATAATAATAATAATAATAATAATAATAATAACAATGTGGAATGCATTTTGGTTTGTGGGCTAATATCCTAACATAAATGACGAAAATCTCTTGTTTTTCATCAAACTATTGTATATAAATCCCTATCATCTACTAGTCTCTCGCAGTCCTAGTGTTGAGACCTATCATATCCCTCGATAACTGCGCCTCACCGCATCTTAAATATAAATGTCAGCGTCTTCATATCTACATTTTTTGTGTGTGACATTTGAGTGCTTCTCTGTCTCTCTCTCTTTTTGTCTCTTCGTTACTGCAATTATTGATACGGTGGAAGATATTGTTGCTAGCTGTGCATTGCATCACGGTTTTCTTACGTCAGCCGATGCAGCGTCAGCACGGGAATGCAAGCGCTGGGAAAGTCACGCTGATGTTTGCTGACTTAACCTCGGACGTCACCAGGTGTTCGTAGGGTTTTCAGTCACTGCACCTTTCCACCAGACAGCTTTCACAACAACCACACATACTTGAATGGAGTGCATGTGCAAGGCGATCAGATAAACCTTATCATAACCTTGTCCTTTATTTTCTTCTAACTGAAATGCGTGGATTAACCTTGTAGCGGGGAAAAGGACGAGAAAAATCATATATAATCAAACTGGGAGGGATACTAATATTAATTTGAATACCTAGGCCGCCATTATAGCGGAGAGAGACAACGCTGACACTATGCATGACAATCTTGGTGCTCTGCCATGTCTCTCGCCCCGCCAAATAAGGAGCCGTAATCACTAGGGCCGCTTAGCACCTCGTCCTCGCGGGCCAGACAGCGATTCCGTCAGTGTCACGTTGGTAAAAAATTAATGCAGAGAGTGGCGGTGTAAAAATAGTTATTTGCTTTCATCCTGTACTGTTGTTTCGGCAGTTGCTTCTGTAAGATCAGAAAGGTAGGATGATTTAGGTTAAAAGCTGATGGTGATGCTCATGATCATTTCTATTTATACCCAGTGAAGATCGTTGTTGAAATGATGTAGTTTATAATGTTCATAATCATGCTAGGAAAAAGAAATAAAGTAGTTACCACAGCAATATGAAAGATAAATGACATGACTTTCTACAAGATGAGTACGAAACGCAAGAATGAAAATGTAAACCAAAAAAAGGCGGTCTTCGGATCCCGCTTCTGAAGGGCTGCCGTTGAGGCGTTTCGACCTTCGATATCAACATCCGGGAGCTGAAAGGCAGACGACAAAATCCGGCTCATAGCGAAAGTTATGGACATTTCTTCTTTTCACTTTTGTATCTTTTAATGTCTAACAGATTGAAGAAAAGAAAACGTGATCTGTTTTGTAAAATAAACCGCTTGACTAATGAACTACAGTTACAAATACTAATTCATCCATTTTTAAAAGAAACAATAATAATTAGCCGTTGCGTAAACTGTAATTAAACTTTTTACACGGTCAACCAGTGAGCCAGTGATACTCTAAATAGAAAACTGGACATCAGTCATGTTTAGTAAACATCTAAGAAGTATATTATGATTATTCCTGAAATACCTTATAGGCCATATGAAACAAATACATTAAATGGCCTTTTGTATTCAATGCATCCGGTTGATGACATATAAACTTTATCTCTCTCTGTCTCTCTCTCTCTCTCTCTCTCTCTCTCTCTCTCTCTCTCTCTCTCTCTCTCTCTCTCTCTTCTCTCTCTCTCTCTCTCTCTCTCTCTCTCTCTCTCTCTCTCTCTCTCTCTCTCTCTCTCTTCTCTCTCTCTCTCTCTCTCTCTCTCTCTCTCTCTCTCTCTCTCTCTCTCTTCTCTCTCTCTCTCTCTCTCTCTCTCTCTCTCTCTCTCTCTCTCTCTCTCCTCTCTCTCTCTCTCTCTCTCTCTCTCTCTCCTCTCTCTCTCTCTCTCTCTCTCTCTCTCTCTCTCTCTCTCCTCTTCTCTCTCTCTCTCTCTCTCTCTCTCTCTCTCTCTCTCTCTCTCTCTCTCTCTTCTCTCTCTCTCTCTCTCTCTCTCTCTCTCTCTCTCTCTCTCTCTCTCTCTCTCTCTCTCTCTCTCTCTCTCTCTCTCCCTCTCTCTCTCTCTCTCTCTCTCTCTCTCTCTCTCTCTCTCTCTCTCTCTCTCTCTCTCTCTCTCTCTCTCTCTCTCTCTCTCTCTCTCTCTCTCTCTCTCTCTCTCTCTCATCTATCTCTCATATCTCTCTCTCTTCTCTATTCTCTTATCTTTACCATGGAATCATTTTTTGTAAAACTATCACAATCCAGGGTACATAATCGTTCAATTTATTTTCTTCCCCAGACTGCATCGCTATCACCATGTGGCCTTGTGTCTTGATACTGGCGTGGGCGGCGCTGAGCGAGGCAACGACGGGGCCGCGATCTGCTTTTGTTCAGCGGCTCGAACCCATCGACTTTGTGGGCACTGATTACTATCTGACGGGCGGGTAAGTGCCGCGAAAATGCAGATGTAAATTTATTTACTTTCCACAGACGTATGTAGACACGCAAACACACACGTGTGTATGTGCACGTGTGTGTGTGTGTTGTGTGTGTGTTTGTGTTTGTGTGTGTGTGTGTGTGTGTGTGTGTGTGTGTGTGTGTGTGTGTGTGTGTGTGTGTGTGTGTGTGTGTGTGTGTGTGTGTGTGTGTGTGTGTGTGTGTGTGTGTGTGTGTGTGTGTGTGTGTGTGTGTGTGTGTGTGTGTGTGTGTGTGTGTGTGTGTGTAAAGAAACGGACTCCTATGTTTAAAGGAAAAATACTACAGAAACACACGGAAACCAGCAAATATTTACAAATCTAATCATTACTCACGGACATAATACGATGAAATATACTTTGAATTAATATCTCGATGGAACACCTTCCTACCCCTTTGGAGAAATACAAGAGAGTTCGGTTGCTTCGGCAGGAACGGCGCAGGAAGCGGGTCGCCCTCGATGCTGGAGGACTTGAGGAGAGGACACGAGGGTCTCATGGTCAAGCTCAACGATGTGACGAGAGCTCTCAAGGTATGTGCGTTTCTCGAGGTGAATGTGGATGGATGTGTACACCTGAGAGTTCCTATTGTGACAGGGATCAGACTGTTTGGTTACAGATACTAGGTTTAAACTTATCTGCGATCAGAAATGACCCTTTTTTTTTTTTCTTCTTCATTTGCCTTTCATTACTGATTAAGCTGCACTTCTAAAACTGAAGATTCTACAGAGACTTATCACTTTCTAAAAACAGAAATATGTACAATTAAGAACGGCTCATCATAAGTAACAAATCAATTCTGCAAATTGTTGAATTGATATACGCACATTATAGGAATTTTAACATTGTTGATCCTATCTGCACCATCTCTTGTAGCAACTCCACTCGCACATCCTTACTCATCTTCCTGTCATACTAAATAAAAAAACCCTGATAACATTCCAATATTTCAGGAGGACGAACTGAAGCTGAACAACGTCTTCTACAAGCTGGGCCGCCATGACAACGACTTGGAAGGCGTCAGCGACAATGTGCAGAAGCTCTCTTCATCGTCGAAGAAAATTGAGGCGAAACTTAACAAACACGCCTTCAACGTCAGTTTTGTTTCGCGTTTGTTTTTCCTTTTCTTTTCTTTTCTTTCGTGGCAACTGTTTATAAATGTTGTGTGGAATCTTGAGTTTTTGTTGTGATGATCTTAACTATACATGGCTTTGGGAAGACGTCCTTGGCATGCTAAAAAGAGAACCAAAAATTGCAAGCTCGAACGCCGTTACGCCCCGGCTGTTTGTTCAGTAGGAGGGGAGATGCAAAACAGGTTCCCTTCTGTGTGCTTTATAATAAAATAGCAGCTATCACCCTCCCTCTCTTGCTCTCCTCTTTTTTTATTTTTCTTAATTTTTCTATTTTTATTTCTCTCTTTCTTTTTCTTTTCTTTTCTTCTCTCTTCTCTTTCACACTCACTCCCTCATTCTCTCACTCTCACTCATATTATCTCTCTCTCTCTCACTCATATTCTCTCTCTCTCTCTCTCTCCCTCTTTTCCCTCTTCCCTCTTCTCCTCCCTCTCCCTCTCCCCCTCCCCTCTCTTCTCCCTCCCCTTCCCTCCCTCTCCCTCTCCCTCCCTCTCTCTCCTTTCTCCCCTCCCTCCCTCCCCTCCCCTCATCGAAATTATCCCCGCGAAAACGATCGCGACTGTTGTTCATTAATCACAACAGCTGGAAGTGGTTTTCCGCGCCGTCGCTGAGAAGCACAAGCATTCATTCAGAATTTAATACCGCGTAATTTTTGCCGCGTGCGCTGGCGTGAAAGGTCCTCTTGATAGAGCGAAAAAATATTTTCCTCCTATGAATGCGTTCTTAGAAGGCTTAGACAATGATTGGTATCTTACTTATGTTGGAGTTAAAGGACACTTGGGTATTGGACATTGCGGATCGAGTGTGGTATAATTTGCATTGTTTCTATATTATTCACATCTTTAAGTAATTTAAGGATGCTTTGTTTATTTGTCGGTTTACCTACTTATCAATATATTTACTGATTGACCTGTTTATGAATAGCACCATTATCATTGTTTTAGAAATTTGTTTCACACAAAAATATATATATAATCTTACCAGTTCACCTCTTGTAACGCCACACCTGTATTGCGTAAATACTTTGTAAACTATTGCAAGATCTTTCTTTCGCTCAGGTGGACTTCCTTCGGCGGCGCATCGAGCGGCTGCAGCGGGAGAAGAAGGCGGAAAACTCCATGGAAGCGCAATTAGCAGCCGCCAGGGAGATCATAGACCGCCTGGAAGACCGCCTCACCGACGCCCTCATCCGCCTCGGAAATGTGGAGAACACGACCCGCACTTTGGAGAAACGGTCGGTGGTTTCTCACTTCCCGGACCTGCTTGGCCCGCCCATCGCCGCCGCTGCCCGCCCGCCCACCTTAACCGTGTACCCGGCGACACACACAGGTAACTTAGGGCTACTCGAGACGTATTCATTAGTTTTTTTTATTATTATTATGATATACAGAGGAGTGTTAACTGTAGGGTAAGCGGCATGGGTAATATGACACACATCAGTGGTACTCATTTTGAGGTTGCTGCACGTGGCGCGGGACGATGAGGTAAGACGAAGTGTGGACGCCGTTATAGGAATACGAATTAAATGAAAGACGGATATTACATACTATTAACAAGAATCAGTCATCGTTCATTATTTCTTCAATGGCAATGGGGTGTGTGCAATATACTCTAAAAATTATCGTCATATTATTTCCACTGGTGGAAATGTGGCAGGTGAGTGCAGCGGCGACTGGGAGAGGATCGGCCTCGGGTGCTACTGGTTCGGCGAGGAGGAGCTCACCTTCCCGGAGGCCGTGGCGTCGTGCGTGCGTCGCGGAGGCCACCTGCTGACCCTCAACCCGCCCGGCACCCAGCACGAACTGCTCATGGCCCGCCTCGCCGACGGTGGGTGATGGGCGCTGCGTGCCTTGGCGAAGAATGGTGCTTTTCCTGTAGATGAATGCATAGTGGCATTTCTTTCAAAACAAATATTTTCAGTAAACATTAATTATCTCACAAGTCACAAGCATATCCTCACACTGGAAGGGAATATAACAATAAGAAAAACATGATCATATAAATAAATAAATGTATTCAAAACACAATCTACTCACAGGTACTACCTACTGGACCAGCGCCACAGATGCCTTCAACAAGGATGACTGGGCCTTCCTCATGACAGCCCAGCCCGTGTTGCCTTCTCACTGGGGTGTCGACCAAGAGAACACTCTGGGCAGCCACCAGCGCTGTGCAGGCGTGTCTAACATAGGCCTCCTCAAACAACGCTGCACTCACCGTCAGCCGTATATCTGCCATATGTTTTGAAATGGTGCGAATAGAACGCAAGCTTGATTTGGAGACTGGCACATTTAGATCTTCAAAATTTTGATTTTCTTTTTTTACTATTTCTTTTTCTTAACCAGGTACGTAATTGGAAAAAATAGACGTGATATAACTCCCACTGCATACACCCTGTTCTGTAGCTTTGCGACCTTAATTTATTCTTAGAATAAAGAATATCTGATTCTCCATCCATTTACATTGTATAAAATGTGTCCAAGTAAAGATACAAGCTTCACTGTATCTGGGTTCAGAATGCTAACACATGGGGATATAAACATGAATAATCACACTTTAATCAAAATATTGATACAGGATTTTGACAATCTTCTGTAATCTACTTTATATTTCACAACCCAATAGGACCATTTTTGGAAGAGAAAATAAAACAATAGCCTAACTGTATCGTATTTTTTGGTATACTGAGCTAGTAAATCAGTATTTTTGCAGCACATTAAAATCATATATAATGAAAAGCATCATGATTACATAGTAATGATGGACACTAGGACCTTCCCTGATTTATTAAGTTTAATGTTAACCAAAATCACATTTCTGGACTTTTTGCTAGAATTCATTGTATTCCTTGACACATGCATATGGAATTATGACTTAACCAAATCATACAATCATCACTTTTATCATCATCATTTGTCTTTCTTACAGGAGCATTTAGTCCCTGTTAGTAACCTGTAAAAAGATTTCATACTTTTTCCAAAGATTAGTCATATTTCATACATGCTGTACATTGTACTTATAATCTGTAAGGTTCTCCATATAGTTAAACAAATAAGTGGTTTAAGTTATATGTAACTGCCTTTCACTAAAGCCTGCCTCATTATTATCTTTAAGGAAAATAATAATTCTGTTATTTTTTAATTACCAAATATTATATATAGTTAGTTTATAAAGTTAATGGGGCTAGTGCCTGGCCCTTGATATGATCCCAACTTATCACTGCAATGGGTTGTCTTTTTATAATAAAAACAAACAAATGCCCTTCTTTTATTTACTGACTTTACATGAATATTGCATTAGTTATTTTGTCAGTTAACAATTCATTTACTACCTAATGACACTTTATCAAAAAAAAAACAAAAAAAAAAACAGGGTTTCAATTCAATTCAATAATTCAGTAAATCTTACAAATGCAGCAACATGATGACTAGTGGCATATTTTAGGCATAGTCTAGTTCATAACATTTTGTGGTTTAGCATTATTGGAAACAGTAAAATGAAAACGATTATTGATCATTTCTTTTCCACTTCAAGAAAAAAATGGTTAGTTTCATGTTGACTTGGTTTATACCTATCCTTGGTAAGGGATTAACAAAGTCCCTTTGCTTTCAGAGTTTTGGGTCTAGCATTTATGCTCGTTATCACAAGTAAAAAATATGGTCTGACAATATCCCAATATATATCAGTACATTCAGTGCCTTTCTGTATTTGTCTTCCAAATAAAATCAATAACAGTACACTAAGCAGCAAAAGTGAGATTTGTCCTTTTGGATTATTTCTGTTTTAATACCATAAATGAATTCAACTCTAGTCTATTCTGTCCTTAACTTTCATGATTAAATCATACATTGAATTTAATCTTAACAAGCAAACCTCTCAAAAGTATTTTACAAAAACTGCTGTTTTAGGATAATTAAAAACCAAATAAATGCAAACCTCTTTATTTCCCTTTCAAAGCTGAGGGAACACAGGGTGATTTCATCACCTGAAAATTTACTAGAAGTTGTGACGCACTGAATAGTTCCATTATCACATGAACTAAAAAATCAGACACAATTTTTTAACATATTAATTTTGAAAGTAAAATATTGTCTTGGAACACATTTTGCTTATAACAAACAATATCAGGCCATCTCAAAACTTCCAAAAGACATACTAAATATATTCATAAATATGCCATACTTCCTTCAGTAATCCATTAAATGGATCCATGATTCACTGTCTAATGAGCAACTGTCACATCTATAATTAGTAAATCCCCCAATATTGTATAAATAAATGTTTGTACTATTATAATTGTAAAAGTAATGATGATAGCTTAATATGTAATGATCTAAAATCAATAAAATGATTACTACATTGTGAAGACCTGGACAGAATTCATCCAAGCATGATATCTTCCACTATGAAAATACTATTAGATTTAAATGTGGCTATGACAGAAATCGCCTAAAAACCCTCAGTCTGCAATTCATCAATTCATTTTTTCGTTCGTGATTATCAAGTTACCTAATAAAAAAATAATAGAAATACCTAATAACACTGAAATAAAGTTGACCTGAGGGGGAGGAGCCAAAAGAAGAGAATGAAGAGGAGAAAGACAATGAAAAAGAGGAGGAGGAGGAGGAAGAGAAAAAGGAAGAGGAGGAAGAGAAAAGGAAAGGAGGAATAGAGAAGGGAGGAGGTATAGAAGAAAAAGAATGATGAGTGAGGGGGAGGAGGAGGAGAAAAAGGAGGAGGAATAAAGAAGGGAGGAGGTATAGAAGAAAATGAATGATGAGTAAGGAAGGAGGAGGGGAGGAGGGGGAGGAGGGGGAGGAGGAGGAGCAGGAGAGGAATAGAGAAGGGAGGAGGTATAGAAGAAATGAATGATGAGTGAGGAGGAGGGGAGGGAGGGAAGGAGGAGGAGGAGAGCAGCAGGAGGAAAAGGAGGAGGAGAGGAGGAAAGGAGGAGGAGGAGGAGCAGGAGAAGCAGGAGAGGAGGAGGAGGAGAAGAAGGAGAAGAGAAGAGGAGGAAGAGGAGAGGAGAAGGAGAAGGAGAAGGAGAAGGAGAAGGAGGAAGGAGGAGGAGGAGGAGAGGAGGAGGAGGAGGAGGAGGAGGAGGAGGAGGAGGAGGAGGAGGAGGAGGAGGAGGAGGAGGAGGAGGAGGAGGAGGAGAGGAGGAGGGAGGAGGAGGAGAGAGGAGGAGAAGAAGGAGAGGAGGAGAGGAGGAGGAGGAGAAGCGAGGAGGAGAGGAGGATAGAGAGTAGTGAGGAGGAGGAGAAGGGAGAAGTAGTAGTAGTAGAGATTTGGAGGAGGGAAAAGTGGAGGTGAACATGGAAGATGAGGACTAAGAAATCTTTCCAGGCATGTTCCCCAACATCCAATCTTATCTGTAAGATGCAATGTTCTTAATAAAATTTAAAATGTGCACACATACACACACAAAAAGGAAAAAAATCTAATCAAAAGTGAAGCACACAGGTAAACTGGGTATATTACAGAGTCAAGTATAAACGATATCCCAATAAACTCCTACATCTCAGACTACCATCAAATTCAGAGACTTTTAACCAGAAATGAACCATGATCATAGAGATTTTGGTTTTTTGAAAAATGTACATAAACATATGAACGGAAGACAAAAGTCAACATTTAAATACCATGAAAAGTTGAGCAATCAGGAACTTGTTTCAATAACCTCTTTTAAATGGATTATCCTTTTAATGAACAGTTCATTCATGGATTCCTTATCTCCACAGAAGACACATATTAGCAACTATAACATACACAGTTAACAGCCAAGCAATGCTAAAGAGTGGACAATGATGTAACAGTGTAACAACGGTAATTACAATTAATTCGATACAAGATCATACTTCTAACCAGTATGAAGTTTTTCGACCATTCACGCTATGAAAATACAAGATGCAAGGAAACGAGATCTTTATTCACTGCACTTTACATTTTTAAATTATTTCTACTTCTGATAGTTAATAATTATCAAGTTTATCACAGCCAAGGCTTTCTGTTCAGTTTTATCTATCACATTTTTATCTCCATTTCTAAATTCATTAGCCATCACATAAATTGGCTATTAGTGTTTGAAAATATCTAAGCTGGTTTACAGTATGTGTAAAAATAGAAGTATATAATTCCAAAAGCTCGACAGATACAGGAAACAATAAAAGCTTTGAGATATTAGGAACAGTAATGATATCATGATGAAGTCCAGCACTGGATCATCAACACTGTGCTATCAGGAAAATGACTATCAGCAATTATTTTTCATGTAAATGCTACTCATAGGCAATAAAATGCTAAAAAAGGTTTGAAAATCCTATGATGGCTTCATTACAAACCAAGCAATCCAATACTATTATTCAAAACCAAATTCTACCACACTGTTGAAATCATAATGCATCTTGTACATGGCAATTAAAATATTGAACTTACTTTGGCTAAACTGCTTATACACATATCTAACTTACATTCCTGTATAATTACATTCATATGTAACAGATAGTGGATTCACATTTTAATATAAGTGTGAGGTAAGTTTTAATCTGTGAATTATATTTAAGTTTATGTCACCCAAATGAATGGCTATTTCAGTTTGAATTTAACTTTGTATATCACTTTGAGCAAGGGTCTGAGAGTATGAGCTCAAGTCTGACGGTGAATATATCTTGTAATAGTAAAGATGGACACTGAGGAGTACATTAAACACACAAAACAAACAAAAAAGACAGAAGAATGATATTTCAATGGTTCTTCCTTTCTTCATCTCCCTGAGGACTGTCATTTCCTAAGCAAAAACATCTTATCAAGAAGGCCCTTTTATAAACTGTGTACTTCAGCTGCTTTGACACTGTATAATCATATACACCATGACTGAATAATTAAGTATCTGTACTTATTCTTAATTGTCTTTGGCAGCTCAGCATCTAATAATTTTTAATTTCATGATCTTTACAAATACATACATATAGAAGATAATAAACAATAAAACTTCAAGAACTTCTCATAATTGCAAATCTCCATTATCATTTCATAACATTAAAAGTTAAACATTTCCTGGATTTATGCCTTTCTTAATCTCATTACTGTGTTCTTTTTTTTGGTATGTCCTATTTCGTTTAACTTAACTCCTACTCCTGTTCCAAAGTACCATTATTATATGAATACTAATATGTTTCAAACTAATATTAATTGTACTGTAAAGAAAAAAAAAAGAAAAAGATGAATAATACAACAGAATGTATAATCCAATGGTCAAAACAATGTACTTGTACAAATATAATATACAATGAGACAGCCATGTCCACTTCCTTATGCTTGAGTTTCAGCCTTATTATCACCACTGTAAATATCATAATAAATATATCAATCTCAAATATTCTAACACAACTTTAACATACCAAGAATTGCCTTAGTTAATGAACTCTAACCCTTAATCAAAACCGTATAAAAATACCTCAAACGCAGTACTGTACCATACATATGTACCTAGATAGCTAACCTAAGGGACATTTTAAAAAGGGATGATCTAAGGCTTCTTGAGCAGTAATGCGAGTATCTGGATTGGGATCTAGGAGCCTAATCAACAGGTGGTAAACAAGTGGGTGCCCGCAGCAACAGCATTGCAGTGTCTGTCTTCTTTAATTTTAACCTCAATCACCTCCAGGGAGTCCCTTGGCAGCTCTGGCTCAGGCTGCATTTTCTTGCAAGAGGAGGAAGGGGTGATCACGATACAGCTACTGTCTGAGGCTGCTGCTTTAGTCTGCTCCTCCTCCTTTAGCTTGGGTGTTGCTGGACCTTGGGGCTGTACCTGCATCTGCTCCTGTGCTTTTTTACTAGTGGCTGCAGCCTCAGATTCTGTCCTTGAGGTTGATGAGGCACCAGCCAGTGTATTTCCCTTACGCTGTGTCCCAGGTGTTTTGAGAGGCTGTCGTTCCTGGGCCTGTGATCTCTTTTTGCTGGCTTGCCCAGATGCAGTCTGTGAGGTAGTAGCCTTGGTGGGGGGGATGAGACACACACACGTTTCTTGCTGGTAACAACTTGGACAAGGCTGTGACATGGTCTCTTTGTCTATGTTGATGTTGCTTCTCCTAGAGTTGCTACGAAGAATCTCACACACTTTCATCAAATCAAGTGGATTTCTGGTTTCTGAGCAAGTAAACAATTTTCCTGAAATTATATGAAAATTATAATAATTGTTATAAATGTATTAATGACAATGTAAATAATTAGCAATAACAGTGCAAGTAATAATAAAAAGAAGAGAAAATAATAGTGATAAAGATAAAAAAAACACCAAGATTATCAATATACTTTCCCAGGTTCTATAGGCCTTTGAATTCATGTGTCCACAAATCAATTTTTTTCTCTTGATTCTACAGACATATAGAGCTAGATCAAGCATTCATAATACTTAACCCACTGATGCTGGGTACATGCAGAGATGGCTCTACAAGCACTTAGTCACCAAGAAGTCAATTAACCCAATTGCACCGGGTGTCTCGCATGCGAGACACCTGGAAAAAAAATTCCTGGGCATCCTGCCAGTGCGACACTAGATCAGAGCTTGCGCTATGATTTTGTCGCCCATGATGGCAGCAGGCAGCAGGCGGGCTAGTTTCCGGACTGGCCCGCTCGCCAATTTTTAAGCCACCCGGAAGCTATTATTTTCAGCTTGAAAATATACCAGCACTAGTGGGTTAATAAGCTGATCTCACTTCACATGATTATCCCATTCCTTGAATTTTGGATTTTTTTTTCTAATACTATTATTGTTATTATTAATATTATCAGTATTGATGGTATTATGGTTATCATGATACTATAAACAGTATCAATTTTAATCAAAAAATAAAAACAATCTTCCTGAAAGACAAGGAAAGTGTAAATTAAGTTATTAAAGTATAGATCTAGTCAAGGACACAAAAAAGCAGCAGGATATTCAAGACGCTTGCAAATGATTCTCCTGGGCTGTTCTGATATTATTCAGTTTGCAACTGCCACTTTCCTAAAACATTAAAAATCCCTTACCCAAATGTGCTGCTGTCTTCTTCATCACTTGTGTCCCAAGTAATGTAGCAATTTCAGCTAAGGTGGAGAGGTCATCAACAGCACGGAAGAACGGGTAACGTCCACTTAGAAGGCACAACAGGATAACACCAACTGACCACATATCAACAGCTTTATGGGGAAAAAGATGGATGATAATCATAAAAAGGGTTAATAAAATGTTTTCCAACATGATACATATATATATTCATCATAAGATACTTCACTGTACGAGACAAACAGGAAATATTGATATTTTTCATAATATCTTAGGTAATGCTTGGTGCTATAAGTTAAAGTATTATCAACTAGCTCTTAATTTCTTACCGGTTCCTTGATCAGGGTGACGCAGAAGCACTTCAGGAGCCCGAAAACCTGGTGTGCCTGCTCTTGGGGCCACCTGATTTGTTCTTGTAACACACACACTACAGACTCGGGGATGACCATAACATTTACAACTCACTGGCTGCAACATTGCTCCTTTTCTGGTTTGTACCTAAAGCAGAAGAAATTAAGGTTTTATTTCACACTGTGGATTAATTAACCACTGATCATGGATGGCCCAATATACATGCTATATCCACTGTAATTTTAGTATATCAATTATGTTTTGCACAGATAGCTACACAACTAACTAGTCTAAATTTTCTAACCTGTTTACCACTGATTTTTAATTTTTCACTGTTATTAGTAATTTGATAACATTATAATAATTCTATTGTCAATACTACTACTACTACTACTACTACTACTAATATAATAATAATAATAATGATAATCACAATCACAATCAAACTAACAATAACAATAACAATAAAAATAATAATTACAAAAACAAAAACAAAAACAATAACAATAAAAATAAGAATATAAGTAATAATAACAACAATAACAACAACAACAAAACAATAATAATAATAATAATAATAACAATAGCAATATTAATAGCATACAAAAAAAAAAACCTAAAAATTCACTGAACAGGAGAATCAGGGTCAACTGGTGGCTGAGCAAATATGGAGCACTCTGTGTGCAACTAAATTTAAGAAAAGTCGACAATGGACGGTACACTTGACCAAGTGGTTAAAAAAAATATATACCTTACTGGTTATAAACTCAGGATAGGACTCTATCCTTTATTCATGCATTGTTATTCTGCAACTAGTTCTGTGGGCTTCATGAATGAATGCAATAAAAATATAGTACCCATGTCCAAAGAAATCACTTAGTTTCAAGAACTCTGAGAGTAAAAAGCACATCTACCTTCTTTATTATTCAGACTAAATACTAAAACTGCATTCTCTGTAATACATGAAATATCTAATATTCCACAAAAGCTTAAATCATAAAAATCATCTACCTCTTGTAGCACTCTCACATCCCTGAAGGCAGTAGAAGGTCCTTGCTTTTGCTGAAACGCTTTGGCAATTCGAGGGACTCTGGCACTAAGAGCTGTAACGCTGGACATCTGACGGTGTCGCTGTGTGAAACTTTTACTTGCTAATGATGATTCATTACTCGTGCTTGATATGTCTGTGATCTCCACTTTTGCTACCGGGGTTTTGCTTGCTGAAAGCGTAAAAAACATATACATGTATACAAATTCATACCAATACCCCTTTCACTAAAATTATTTGTATTTCCCATCAGCCTAGCTACCTAAATTTAGGAGGGAAGCTTAGCTGTGACACAGTCTCATTCTCTTCCATGGAAAATCACTCAACACTGTTAATAAGTTAATTAACAGTTTCAACCCTTGTACTGGAAACAAATCAGTAGGATCTGTAAATATGTGCTTCCAATACGAGAGTCAAAAACTGAAGTTCACAAACTGGCCATGTAGAAGTTGAACTTGTAAGTAGAGGAGATTGTACATCATGTGATGGAACAGCCTTTTTTGAACTGAACATACTGTATATTGCTCCCATTTGAAACAAAAGTAAACAGCAGTTGAGTCAAGCAGCTATAGTAATGAACAGTTTGTGGGAAAGTCAAAGTAGCAATGAAAGAAAAGAAACTTCTCCATCCGTAGAGTAATATTACCCTACTGAAAGGGCCCATAAAATAATCTGCCCTAAGCATGTCTCAGCTTAATCCACTCATGCTCCCAAAACATTCTTATTTACCTAAGCTTGGGCCCAGTATCTGAGAACTCTGGATTTTTTACTCTAGTTGAGTTGTATCAGCAGTAATGCAAGGTTCAAAACTGAATATCACAAGATGCCAAGCTTAAACTATAATGCCATTAGTTTCATGATAATTTACGCATCAGCAATTTATTATGTATTTCAGGTGTATTGCCAGGTTTAATGAAAATGGGTTAGTGTAGAGTAACAAGCCCTTAAATGTACCTATGATGCTTTTTTCTTGTGGTTAGCAAGACTGTAGTCTTCATTTCTGTATTTAATCAACAACTCATTTAAGTCATTGGTGAATTATTCAACAATAAACATCAAATTAAAAAACACATTTCACATGAGGCATGTATCCCCTGAATCTCCCCCTCCCTGTTGTGATACTATTTCAAAACAAAGAAACTAATATCAATATGGAAGTCCACATTGAAGTCTTTGTTACTTCAATTTCTTGTTGTACCTTGTCTTGATGTAACCTCCTGCAAATGTTTAGCTAAGCCCTCAAGCTGAGTGGTCGTATTGTTCACAGGTGCTGGTTTTCGAGGAGAACGTCTTAAAACTCTTGCACCTTCTTGTCGCATGAGCTGATGAGATTGGCCAGAACCCTCAAAGCCTGAAATTACCATTAGCATAATGCAACCAAAAAGAGAAGAACAGAAGACATGGCCAGAGAGAATATAACCATCATATATGTTAACAGTGTATTAAGTATTCCATTTCATTCTATAACCTCTCCTTCATCTCTGCATATACAGTATGAAAGATTTAAAGGAACATGTAGTGCAAGGCAAGTCATTCAACCTGATTACTGAACAAAGTATTTCACTAAACTTATATAGCCACTGATCAGAGCAATTCCTTACAGCACAGACACAACTGATTTGAAAGACTGTTGAACTGAAGGAAATCTGAAACTCTTTTGTTATATATCCTTTATACATAATAAATATAAATCATGCTTACCATTAAAGTCTGGTGACTCTAACCTACGATTAGCTTCAGCATTTCTGGTATGTTTGCTTGGGGAGTCCTATAAATAAAGAAACCCAACTAAATAAAAAAGTCGAGTACCTTTACTTTCTAAGAACAAAATAAGATAACTGTAAATCAGATGACACATGTCTATTATAAATGGATGGTTTGTTTGCAAAAGATATCTGATACATGTCATAAGCAGCTGGTCTAACGAGTGTGTAACTGAACAAAAAACAATACTAACAGCTTGCTTTTCCAAAGACATTACTCTTACCTGTTGCACATTTGAACTCTGAATCGAAACCTTCCTTGGTGTCCCCATTAACTCAAAATTTTCCTTCTTTGGTGATGGTGCAATGGAACACTGCTTTCTTGGTGAACGACGTAATGCCTAGACGGAGAATGGTTATCAATACAAATATAAATTAGTTGATGCTCAACACAACTAAATCATCTAATACCAAGTGCCAGATGTTACTTGTAGAGTAAATGCATACTCTTAAACATACTTTTGTAAGAATATATAAGGTCTCTACGAAAATTTTTTAGTCACACCTAATATGTCATAAAATCTGCATCCTGTTATAACTAGTTGCTACATATCATTTGACCTCAACCACTTTCACTGGATTATTTACTTTGTATCTCTTCAATAAGACTTATGAACTCTGTGTTATTTGGAGTCAACCATGTGTGAGAAATTATGAATGCAGAAACCATATCTTACAAATAGAGCTACAAGTAATTTTCAACAAGTAGTGATAAAATCATGGCTTCTTACATTATTCATTTTCTTACATTGGATGTATTTTGTTCAGCCATGTCTTCTAAACCTTTGATTGTTTGAATTATTGTTAAGTTGCCACTACATAAGTGAGATACAGAAAATCTAATATCAATCAGCATTTCTCATAAAATTAAAAAATCTGTTTGCCAAATCCAATATATAGCACTAATGTTAAGTCTCACATACTCTAATATGCAACAGAACTTTAATAACACACTAATCATCAACTGATCACTCTCTGTCTAATAATCAAATATAGTATTCCTATTATCAAAAAAAGACTCACTGTATTAACTCTGTTTGTTGTAGTAGAGAGGATGCTAGACACAGATGTTGATGGAGGTGATCCCTGCCTTGCTCGTTTGACACTTTTCTCAGCCTCTGTTGGTTCCTGTGTAGGATTGCCACACCAATCAAGTTTAATATCAAAATATTGATTACCAAGACTTTGGTAATGATGAAGTACACTAGTACAATATATACCCATAAATTTCAAATTCATGATTAATATTAATGTTTTTTCTGGTGAGAAGCATACTTAAAATACCAAAGAAATCATGTATTAAACAACACCAAAAAATGCTAACTTGACAAGAAATTATGGACAACAAAAGCAACAGGTACATAAGAATAAGACAGGAAGCTGTGCTGTTCTTTAAGTTACAAACTAAAAACTTGAAAACAAGATATAGGTAGTCCTCGATTTATGGAAGAGCTCCATTCCTGAATCCATAAAATAAAATGAAAAAACATAAAACAAGACAACCATTCCCATAAGAAATAACTGATTCAGAGGATCTGCATTTCCCAAACTCCTGCCTATACTTCAGGACTCAAAATATACAAAAATAATTAAATAATAATATAATAGAACACCTTAAATAAATTATAGTAGTTGTGTAAATTACTATACACATTAAAAGCTCACTTGATTAAAGCATTACAGAACAGCCTGGTGCGTTACTGTGAAGGGAAGCACAAGACTCCGAGTTAGAGGAGCCAAGGGAGAGGATCCCTTGTCTTCTGCTGCCCCTTTGCAAGAAAGCCTAGCCAACATGGTTCATTGCTGCTTCTCCTTTCTTCTACCTGCATAGTTCTTCCTAACAGCAAAAACTTTTTCTGACATCTCAAACAATTTTAATTTTTTTCCTTGTTCCTATCTGCATCATCAATTATGTCAAGTACAGCACCTGCAGGGCAGAAAAGCTCGGCAAGCTACTTTATTGTCAGTTCTTTTATACCATTCTTTTCCAATTCCTTCATAAAGACCTTTTACCTTGTGCTGTATTGTCATAAGGCTTACTGGAACATTGTGGTGGTTCTAGACTTCAATCCAATTATCCATCTTTTCAATCAAACTGCTCCAAGGATAACATGTATGGAAGGGAGTAGAGGGCAAAGTTTAAGAAAGAGGTGGAGGGGAGGGGAGGGGAAGGAGGTGCAAGACACATTTGAACACCTGAGGATAGTTCACCTACACAAAAAATTACCATTGTCTTGAATAATTTGTACAGCAAAACACGACAGCCATGAAAAAAATCATGTCAATATGAAACACCAAAGACAGGTGTCTTAAAACAGATTACCTGTTTTTAAATAAAATATGCTTGCAATTCAAGAAAAGAATATCACAAAGCCTAGTTCTAAAACTACTTCATTATAAACTCAAAACTCAAACAGGATGTCTTTAACCTTTAATGAGCTACCTATTGATAATACCATACAAACCACTCAAAAGAACACTGAAGCAAAAAAAAAAAAGTATATATATTAAAATAATATAAAATAAACATATCAAATATAATAATACAAACTAGCAAATAAACTCACTCCAGGACTAACAACCAGCTTCCTCTTCACTGTCTTGTTGGCAGGATGGTGTGGTGTCTCCACTGTGGGTGGCGTGAGTATCTGGTTCGCAGCCTCTATTCTTGCACGATTTATTCGCGCTAAGTTGCCATGCATGGCCGATGTCTTTATTTGGCTGACTTCCTGGGCTAAGCCAAAGTCCACCAAAGAGTACCTGAGCCAAAAGATTAGATTAACACCAAGAAAAAGACTTGGAAATGATTGATAAAATACAGCTTCTGTTCTTAAAAGCCACCCTTCATCATTCAATCTAAACCAATTTTTAAATTTCCTTTCCTTTTACATTTCTTTCCTCATCATCATGACATAAACAGTTAATTCCCTGTAGATGAATTAATACCTGAATCTCTTTCTTGGTAGACACAGGAGATACATCCACCACTATTCTCTGGCACAATATCAT